AGTGCTCCTCCTCCTTCCGTCAGTGCTCCTCCTCCCTCCGTCAGTGCGCCTTCTACCTCCGTCAGTGTGCCTCCTCCCTCCGTCAGTGCTCTGTCTACGTTCATGGCTTTAACCATGCTTGGAGTCTTCGCTGCCTTCTCAGACCCACCACACAGTCGCATGCTGGACAGGGTTCCTTGAAACAGCAAGTTCAGTTTCTTTCGTTTTCTGTTTTAATAATTTATCTTATGTGTATTGGTATTTGCCCACAGGTATGTCTGTGTGAGATTGCCAGAATCCCTAGAACTGGAGTTATAGACAGGTGTGAGCTGCCATGTGGATGCTGGGAATTGAACCCAAGTCCTCTAGAAGAACAGCTAGTGCTCTTAACCACTGAGCCATCTCTCCAGCCCCATGTTTCACTTGGTTTTTTAAAATAGAATTTCACTATGTATCCCTGGCTGGCCTGGAACTTACCATGCAAACCAGGCTGGCTTCAAACTGACAGAGATCTCCCTGTTCCTGCCTCCAAGTGCTGGGATTAAAGGCCTGCACCCCTGTACCCATCCTCCATCCTCCACTTTTTAACAGTTAACTCTCTTGCGAGTTCCTCCAGTGCCCATACCTCCTCTGCCTCCTAATACACTTTATCCAATTATTCCCACCACAATGCTAGCTAGTATCATGCCTGGGAACAGATACCACCCATGTGTATCTTTTGTTTGTGGTAGTTGGTTTTGGGGGTTTTGTTTGACCCAGGGTATTAACCTGAAGTACAGGCTAGCCCAAAACTTACTAAGTAGTCCAGGCTGGCCTTCAGCGCTCAGAAATTCTCTTGTATGGAATGACAGGCATGATCTACCATGCTCAACTTTACCCAGATGTATCTTATGAGGTTGCTTCTTTTTATCTATGTGACCAGCTCTCCCTGCCACCTTGATAAGAACTCTTGAAAATAATCATAGTATATTGTATGTCTCTGGTCCCCAGTGGTGTTTCTAATGACATGTTTGAGGAAAACCTAATAAATACAAGTGTGATAGGAGAACAGACAAAGGGTGATACAGCCACTGAGGAAGAAGGGCAGCTATCAGGGTAGTGTGGGGATTCCGTGGGATACAAGTTGAGCTGATGAAAGAAACTGACTCCAGGGGGCAGAAGGAAGGACTTGAGAACAGAACTGAGGACAAGTACCGCAGTGTCGGTGAGGGTCCAGGTGGGCTTCAGGAGCTGAGCCTTGACTGGAGACTGAGGCAGGAGATTGTTCTGTTCCACGCAGAGCTATCTTCTTCTTTAAATGCACATCCTGCTCTTGTACTGGAGACAAAACCTAGAAATAAGGAAACAGAACTGGGTTCAGAAGTCCATTCTTGAAGGTAGAGAACCCAAACCTCTAAGATACCCCACACAGGAAAAAAGCCAAAGAAACAAAGGGCCAGGCTATCTTTCCAGCACTACCAATAAAGTCGGCTGGCTAACCGCAAAGCTTGCCATCTTCCCTGCCATCCCTGTCTTATCCCTCCTGGCAGGAGCTTGAAGAACAGAGTCTACAGTCAGTCCCTCGCTGTCAGAGCTCTGGGCACACATTTGCGTAAGAAGAACTACGTGAAGCTATCGGGATACCCAGATGGTAAGTACTGCTAAGCCTGAGGGTCTGAGTGAAGACCAGTTTCCAAGATGTCCACTAGACAGTCCTTTGTGTGTCTTCATGTGGGTGTGCACTGTGTGTGCGGGTCCATGTGCACAAGTGTACAGAAACTAGACGATGACTACAGCTGCCTCTTTGCTCAAGCACCACCCACTTTTAATGTATGTATGAGCACATGTTCATGTATAGGAATTATGACACATTGCAAAACCTGCCTTCTAAGAATCACAGAGCTAAGTGGCCTACTTAGGCCTACTTCAGACTCCCTAGGGTTCATAGACCAGAAAACTAGTGTGGAATTTTGAAAGAAAATGGCCCTCAAAGGGAGTGGCACTATTAGAAGGTGTAGCTTTGTGGGAGTGGGTGTGGCCTTGTTGGAGGAAGTGTGTCACTGTGGAGACAGGCTTTGAGGTCTCATTCGTGCTCAAGCCATACCCAGTCTCAGTTGGTTTCCTGTTGCCAGCAAGATGTAGACTCTCAGCTTCAGCACCAAGTCTGCCTGCATGCTGCCTTTCTTCCCACCATGATGATAATAGACTAAATGTCTAAAACTGTAAGCAGGTCACTAAGTTAAATATTTTATAAGAGTTGACAAGGTCACAGTGTCTCTTCACAGCGATACACACCCTAAGATACCTAGCCTGACCACTGATTTCCAGGTCAGGGAAATCCTGTCTCAGAAACCAAGGTGGCCATACACCCATGTTCAGACAGGAAAGCAGAAGCAGTAGGAGATTATATGCATCTCTGATGAGGTTTACTGCCTGAGAATGGTCAATGTTGATGAAAGGAGACCTATGTATCCAAGTTCTGGGTAAAGCACCAGAATAGAAGAATTTACCAACAGTGAACCACAGTTAGGCTACTACAGTGGATTAAGTTACATCTTCTGCCCTACCCACAACTGCTGCACTGAAGAGCTTTCATCTGCACTTATAGGAACTTCCCAGGACTGGGGAGATGCTTCAGTCAACACAGGGCTGTATATGTGCTGCTTTTATTGGCTAATAAATAAAGCTACTTTGGCCTATGGCAGGGCAGAACATAGTCAGGCTGGAGGAGATCTAGAGAGAGAGAGCAGGCAGAGTCAAGGAGATGCCCTGTACCCTCCGAAGCAGACAGATGCCAGACCTTTTACAGGTACGCCACAGCCTCATGCTGATACACAGATGAATAGAAATGGGTTAAGAGCTAACAGGCCAGTGTTGTAATTAATATAGCTTTTGTGTGATTATTTGGGTCTGGGTGGCCAGGAAATGAATAAGCAGTCTCCGCATACACAGGGCTTAATGGGCCATCCTAGTAGGAGCATGGAAGACAGCGCTGAGGGCAATTTCAACTGCAGGGCCCCACTCAAAACATTTCAGAAAGAAGTGCGTTGCAGACTGTAGAGCTCCCAGCTACTTCTCCACCATGATATAAGCCCATGTGCTACCACGTTCCCTGACATGATAATGGACTAATCTCTGAAACTATAAGCAAGCCCACAATTAAATGCTTTTATAAGAATTGCTTTGGTCATGGTGTCTCTTCAGCACAACAGAACAGCAACTAAGACAACTGGAATTTATGTTTTCGCTTATGGCCTGCAGCACAGAACTATTTCCCATCTATCAATGGCGCAGATTTGGAAATCCTAAAGACAAACCAGCCTAAAGTGTGGGGAATGAAGAACGCTTCTTCCCAGGCTAGTACAAGTCTAGAGAATGGTTCTAGAAGCATCCAGAACATCTACAGTAGCATTAGAGACTTGATTGCTTACCTCCCCTGACCCACTAAGGTGTCTCTGGAAATCTTCCACCACAGCCACAGCCTCCTCGCCAGTTTCAGGACGACGGAGCTGCACCCATGTCTGGAGCTCCCTGGGCAGGATGCTCAGGAACTGCTCCAGCACCAGCAGCTCCAGGATCTGCTCCTTGGTGTGGACCTCTGGCATCAGCCACCAGTGGCAGAGCTCCCTGAGTCGGCTCAGTGCCTCCTGCGGCCCAGACATCTCATGGTAACACAATTGCCTGAAGTGCAGCCGGAAGATTTCACAGACAGGGGGGTAGTTTTTCTGGAGACTGCAGCTCTGTCCCCAGGTCTGGCTTCCTGGTTCCTGCTTCACAGTCAATCTCCCGTCCTGCTGCTGATACACAGCCATCCTGGGGATGAGACCTAATGTTCCCCTGCCTTCCATGGTCATTGCGATCCCAAAGAGAAGCTGGTTCCACCTACAGCAGGTACACTGAAAATGAGTCTCTGCTTCAAATGACAGGAGCTGTTTTTCAGAGTCAAGAAAGGAAGAGCAGAAGTGTTACCTACAGAAACAAAAAGAACAGTCACGGTCCTGGAGTGCTCAGCTGGTGCGACTCCGCAGCTAAAAACAAACCTTTCGGGGAAAGAAGAGTACAAACAGAGAAATCGCTCCAAGTGACTTCCCTTCTCAAACTTACAGTGGCTCCAGGATAAAATTAACTGTCCATGCTTAGCCTTGACAGCTTTTCACATACACCTCCAACCGGTCTCCCAAGTACCCAAATTAAAAGAATAGCAACGGCCTCCAATGCAGGGTATGCAAGAAAATAGAACGTTAAAGAAAACACGAAATTACTTAACTTCTATTTCATATGCTCTGTATTATGTACTGAAATCAAATAGTATGTATCATTAATTTTTGAATAAACTTATGCTGGAGTGGAAGCTCAAAACTCTTCAGCTAGAAAAGATGAACAAGTTTGGGACTAACATGCTACATGATACGAACACACACACACACACACACACACACACACACACACACACACACACATTTTCCCTGTTTGAACTTTTCTCCTTTTTCTGCATTTCTGACAAACTCTTATCCATCTGTCACTTCTTCCGAAGGCAGTTTTCCTGTTTGCCCGGATGGAACACAGCAGGTTTGTTTTGCTTGCTGCACTTCATACTGGAACCGTGTACTTCAGCTGGTTTATGCAGGGCTCACCAGTCGTGCCCTCCAAACTTCTCCCAAAAGGGAGGCACTAGACGGAATAAAAACCCTGGAGATCTTTTCTACTTAAGCCTTTCTGGTCTCTCCGAGCATACCAGTGGTATCGCTTCAGTAATCCCAAGGACCATTTCCTACCCAAACCTCTTCTGGATCACTTCTCTTACCCCTCCCACTCTGCAGTGTACACAGACGTGGGCTCCACTTTCTGGGAGGACTCAAATGGCGGGACTGACTTCCAGAGGTGCACGCGTGTATATGTGTTGCACAGGGAGAGAGATATGGTAAGCCAATGTGGTTAACTTGGCTGACAAAGTTTGGGGGATACCTTTTCCCATTTATGCATGCCATTTGAAAACCAGCTACTCGGGGGTAACTAGGATGTGTGCTGTGGTTCCAGATACCAGGCACTGGAGACCAGGGTTAGACATTTTCCTCTGAGCCTCTTTTTTTGTTTGCTTGTTTGTTTTTGTTTTTGCAAGACAGGGTTTCTGTGTGTAGCCTCGGCTGTTCTGCCTCTGACTCCCGAGTGCTGGGATTAAAGGATTATGCCGCTACTGCCCAGCTAAGCCTATTTTGTTTTTTAAAGACTAATCTGTGAACTCTGAGAGCACACACGGAAACGCAGGAGACTCTCGCAGTGCCCTCACTGTCCCGAATGCTCAGCAGGAGACCTCGCCGCGCGTCCGCGGTGCGAGCTCTGGTGGCGCCGCTCACCTGGCGGGTCTGGCCCGCGCAGCACTGACGCACAGGCGCCAACCGAGCCGACTCCGCCTTGGGCAGGCACCCCGGGACCGCCGGCGTCGTGTCCCGAGTGCCGGCCGCACCTCCCTCCCCGCCGCGACCTGCATACGTGATGGTTCACCAGCCCCCACACCACCAGGACCCTAAAAAAGGGCAGTGATGGCGGCAGCGGAAGCGTTAAGGACGTCATTTCCGGTATCTCCTGGATTCCGGAAGTGTCGGTTGCCAAGGTGAGCAAGCTGTTGGACGCTAGAACCTTGTCCAGGGCACATCTGCAGTGCAAGCGGGCGTCACGATTTTCAGGCCATTCAACATCCAGGGCCCTCACATTATGGACACAAAAAGGCCAAATACAATCAGACTTTGACAGCTCGGAGCCTGACCCGATGGTACCCTATACTATTAGACAGCACTTCCTAATTATCCCTGGCGCCTCGCCTCAGACTGCTAGCCTCAGCAAGGAAAAATGGTGTTACAAAGTTGGCTAATTAGCAAGTTGGCGAACCTCATCTTCTATAAAAGGATGGGTCCCTCCCAGAGGGCGGCCGTCCTAGAACTCAGACTGTTGCGATTCTATCAGCCCCACAGCATACAGTCTTTATTGAAATCCTTAAACTATTATACTTTGCGTAACAGTTTTACTCCCGTGCTTTGGGTTTACCAGATCCACAGTTATGGGTCCAAATACCGCCATCCGTGGGTCACTTTTTTGTACTCAAGGCGGGATGTCTCCTTGCTTTTCTGACTCACAGGTTGGTCATTAGACATGATGTAATGCACCAGGCCTTTAGCTTAGTAGTGTCTATGTTAACAGTCATGGCTCACAGACCCACGAGTTCTGCAGTTTGCATTTTTCAGACAGACTGTAGAGCCATAGTGTGAGTGAATGGCCAACGTGGCAGGATCAGACACCCTTCTGGGACAGAGGTTTTCCTGGAAGGTGTAACCAAGAGGAAGACACTCGTCAGAGAGAATGGCCCCTTCGGGCAGAAGCCCAGAGAAACAGGGGCTTTAAAAAGGCTTTGCATTTCCTGTCTGCCTTCACACTTACTAATGAGTGACTACTCTGGCTACTGGCACTGCTCCCGTTTGCACTTGCCAACATTAGAACACTGTTTTCAGCCTTCCACTAAGGCATTGAAGACATGAGGCTCTCCAGGAATTTCACAGGCCTTCATATTTAGACTGGGACTGCAGAGGCATCCAGCCACATGGAATGAGCAGGTTCCGTTTTCCAGCATACAGGTGGCCGTTGTTGGAGTGGCCAACCCAAACAATGCATGTAAATCTAATAAATCCCCTTAGTAATATATATCCCTTCTAGCCATTCTGTCCTTCTAAAGAACCCTGCCTAATACTAGTACTGGCCTGAACTCCTGGGCTTGGATGAGTCTTCTGTCTTGGGTTCCAGAGTAGCTGGAACTCTTTAGTGAACAGCATTGAGCTCAGATACAGTGCACTTGAAAAGTCATGCCTTTTGGCCAGGGGCCCAGAGTAGAGTTCCGCGTGATACGTATACGAGTATATGATGTAAATTACTGTGGGAAAGCTGATTCTGCTGTCCCTGCAGTGCAGCCTGAGGAGTCCCCTCGCAGTTGTGGCAGGGAATAGCTATATTTAGGTGCAGCCTAAGTAGTCGTTGGTTTTATGATTTTTTTAAAAAAATGCTGCAAGATCTCCAGCGGCAGTGGGCAGCAGAAATGCTGTAGGTCCCAAATGGTGGTGGCGGGCCATGTGGCGGCAGACAGCAGGCAGGCCCTGGGAGCAGCCAGTGCCAGGCAGGGAGACACATGGCAGGCGGGCAGGAGACAGAGACATGGATAGACACGACATGCAGAGTGAGGTTGAATATTTATTCTTGGGGTTATGGAAAAAAGGGGGGCAGAGAGAGAGAGAGAGAGAGAGAGAGAGAGAGAGAGAGAAGGGGGGAGTGGAGAAGTGAGGAGAGAGGCAGAAGCGAAGCTGCCTCTCCGAGAGGAAGACAGAAAAAGAGAGAGAGCTCATGCCAGAAGCTGAAGATCAGCCTGCCTCAGTGGATGGGGGAGGGAGTGGGCATGGCTTGTCTCTTAAAGAGACAGAACAACCATTACAGTTGGTGTAATAGTAATTCCTCCTCTTATTCCAGTTGTTTTGAGACAGGGTCTCACTCTGTAACTCTGGCTAGCCTAGAACCCACTATGTAGACCAGGCTGGCCTTGGATTCAAAGATCTTCCTGAGTGCTGAGATTAAAGGTGCATGACCCCACATAGACACACTTACCTGCTAAGCCATCCTCTTCATTCCTTCATTAGCCCCTTCATAGCCACTCTTAACAGTTCTTTTCCAGGTGGCCTGGTTAAGTCTGTCAAAAGTTCTGGGTCTTAGAACTAGGAGAATGAAGGAACCCTTTCCCTTCTCATGACTCCTGTAGTGGCATTCCTCCTGTATTTTAACAAATAAAGCTTGCCTGGGAATCAGGAGAGTAAAGCAGCCACACCAGCCAACCAGCAATGACACGCACCTTTTATCCAGAAGCCACACTAGTTGCCATAGAAACCAGCCAGTACATGACTTTAATCTCAGTCCTAGAGAGGAATATAAGACGGGAGGAAACAGCCCTCAGACACAGTCTCATCATGAGATTCCTGGAGGCAGGATTGCCATTTTGGACTGAGGTAGAGGTAACAGCCAGTGGCTGGCTGCTTTGCTTTTTGAATCTTCAGATTGAACTCCAATTTTTTTCTCTGAGTTTTACTAGATCATGCTTCAGGCTCCTCTACTCTCTAATTAATTGTCCTGCCTCATGGCAGCCTTCCAAGTGACAATTACTGTAGGTGAACACCCCTGGGCCCAGGGTAAACCACTGAAAGACCAGGATAAATCCAGACCCCTCCCCTAGCAGGAAGAGTAGAGTCAAAAATCTAGGTTGGCTGGTTCAGTGACTTTGTTCCAGGAACTGGCTGACCACAAAGTTAGATTATTATAATCTTGAAGAACAATCTTGAGAAACGAGGAGTTACCCCCTTGTGATTATCACTGGTATTTTCGGAATCTTCCAATGACACCCTCCCTACCCCCTTTGGGTTGTGGTTTCTTCTCTTAAATAACCCTTCTCCCAGCTACTCAGGGTCGAGCTCCTCTACCCCTGCATGGGATATGAGTCTCAGCCCCAGTACGCTGGTTCCTGTCTATAAACCTCGTGTGATTACAGCAAGGACGGTCTCTCCTGAGTACTTGGGGGGGGGGTCGTGTTATCCTGAGACTTGAGTGAGAATCTCCCAACTCTGGGAGTCTTTCATTTGGGGGCTCATCCCGGGATTGGCAACGACCCTCGTCTCCGGAGACCCACTTGGAGGTGAGACATTGTCTGTGTCTTTGTGTTTCTGTGTTGGCTGAATTCAGGTTCTGTACTGTAGAGAGCTGCGTGATGCCACGCCTTAAAGGTGGTGCTGGTTTCTGCCTTCCACCTTCCCGACAGTGAGTGCTCTCAGGTGTGAACAACTCCATATATGGCTAACGCTAAGGATCTGGCTTGCTTCTGCGTTTCTGGACCTATCTGCATTTCCCACGTGGTTTACTGGGATTGTCTACCCAGAGGTTATTTAAGCTGTAAACTGGCTTGGCCCCGTAGCGAGAGGTGCGAGAGGGTGAGAAAGTTGTTCAAAGGTCCTGAATAAAACCGCAGTGAGAAGAGTCCGGTGTTGCATCTTCCTTGCTGGCGAGGTTGAGCATGACAGTTGGTGGCCCGTATGCGGAACGACAAGTGGCGTACGGGGACACAACCTCTCGTCTGGACTCAGGACTTGCTGCAGGCAGGGTAGTGCACTGTAAGTCCCCAGGTAAGACGGGAATCTGTGACAAGAGCAGGATTAGTGACCACGTAAAGAGCGGGGTTAAAGTTCCACAACAAAAGTGGGTAGTCTGCTTTCCTCTGTAAATAGAGAGTGAACAGGGATAAGTTAGGATAAGTTAGGAGGGTTAGCAAAGCTGTAAAACCAAAAGTGAAAGCAGTGCCACAAGCTGTAAAACCTAAAGCAAGAGCAGGTGCCATAAGCTATCAAATCAAAAGACCTGCAGTGTGCCTGGAACTGTGAGGGGCTCTGAGGCTGAAGTGGCTTCAGTTCCACTTGGCTATGCTAAACTGTGCTGACTTCAGGCAGAACTGATCATAATTATCATAATAAAAGCGCAATTAAGGTTTAGACTGGCAGTAAACAAGCAGTACCGTATTACCTCTACATGGTGCAACTTAAGTTTTTAAGAACTGCTTAGCATATTAAGAAGTGCTCCTGGATACTAAAAAAAAAAAAATTACAGATTCACAATAGGACAGATTCAGACATACAAGACCTACAAATGGGTCACAATGTTGGATGACTGCACATAGGCTTGGGACAGAAAAGTAAAAAGTTAATGCCTTTAAAATAAAAAAGGATAAAGTCTTTAAAGAGACAGAATAAAGTAAAGTGATAGAGTAAAAATAAGCCACGAAAAATGGAAAATTCACAGAGAGTCTGGATTCTTTGTATTATTGTGTTTTCTTTAAAATTTTTTATTGTGAAGGAGCTAAGTACAGAAAGACATTTCATCATATGGGCTGCCAAGCTAAACCAGAATGGATATCATAAGGGTATTATGACTTCAGAATTTGGATCTAAGGATATGATGCTTTGGAGAGGGTCTTCTTTTGTTTTCACAGAGAATGAGACCCTGTGGATTGTTTCTATCCCAATATGGTATGATAGACCACGTCCTCCTGAAGGTTGCTGTGAATACCCAGATTAGATGTTATTTGAAGTTACCAAATCATGAGTTAAAACCCTTATATAGGTACGAAGAGCCCCTAGATATTAAGGTGATTAAGTCCTTGACTAAATCTGTGAGAATCTACAGCCTCTTTTACTGTGGCACAGGTGAAAGCCTTGAATAGATATTGCATGATGCCCAGTGATTGGAATGGGCTTACACGTGCGTGTTTAAGCCCAGGACAGTATTTAGACTGGAAAGCCCTCTTGATAAGAGTTTGATAACAAGGAAGCGACCCTGTTCGCCGCCTCTCCCATCAGCCCCATGAGCTGCAGCAGCTCCGGCACGCACCCTGAGGCAGCATCAGCCTGTGCTGCCTCGGTCACGGGTCCAGCACCTCTGCTGTTGGCTCTTGCCACACTCCCCACCAGCACAGCCGCAGAGAGCAAGGCTAGCCCTGCGGGGAAGGCAAGGGAAGGGCCCGGGGCTGAAGCCGCCACTAAGGGCACTGACTCCATAGCCGTGCAAGCTGGGGAACCAGCGGAGCGGTGCGGACCAG